TAAGCGCTGGTTCAAGCGCCTTGACTAAGCACAGATAGGGGTGGTTTCCGAGAGAAAGGAAAAGAAAATAGAGGAAAATGGGAAAAATCGTAACAAAGACCAGGCGAATCACCTTCGCCAGATGCCGGTGCAGGAAAATCCCATTCGAGTTACCAGATGAGGACCCTGGAGATCGGTGGGATGAGGAGATGGAGGACGGAGAAACCATACTCACAGTAGACCTCCAGAAGGAGATCCACATACGAGCTGTCCATCATGCGAATGACTTAGCCGCCAAGGCGAACCAAGGGAAGGACGAGAAGACGTTCGAGGAAATGGTACCCGAGTGGGCGCGAGACTACAAAGACCTCTTCGAAAAAGAGAGCTTTGACGAGTTACCTGCTCCAAAGCCCTGGGATCATGTAATCGAACTGATTCCTAATGCCAGCGCCAACTTAGACTGCAAAACCTATCCCCTTGGCCATCACGAGCAACAGGAACTTGACAAGTTCCTAGACAAAAACCTATCGAGTGGCAGGATCCGCCCCTCGAAGTCCCCCATGGCTTCTCCCTTCTTCTTCGTTAAAAAGAAGGATGGAAAACTCCGACCAGTCCAAGATTACCGAAAACTCAATGAGATGACGATCAAGAATCGGTACCTGTTGCCGCTGATCTCAGAGCTAATGGATAAACTCCGGGGCGCCAGGTATTACACAAAACTCGACGTACGATGGGGATACAACAATGTCCGTATCAAGGAGGGGGACGAATGGAAAGCCACATTCCACACCAATCGGGGACTATTCGAACCAACCGTCATGTTCTTCGGGCTCACAAATTCCCCCGCCACCTTCCAATGGATGATGAACGACATCTTCAAAGACCTCATCTCCACCAGAAAGGTGACAATTTATCTCGATGACATTTTAATTATGTCCAAAACAAGAGAGGAGCACCGAAACCTGGTACGAAAGGTACTAGCCCTGATGAGGAAGCACAAACTATTCCTCAAAGCAGAGAAGTGCGAGTTTGAGGTACTGGAGACGGAGTACCTTGGGGTAATCATCAGCGAAGGGAGCATTCGAATGGACCCGGTAAAAGTGGCCGGAGTCACTGAATGGCCAGAACCCAGCAGGAAAAAGGAATTACAATCATTCCTCGGGTTCACAAACTTCTACCGACGATTCATCCATGACTACAGCAGGATCATTCGCCCAATGACACAGCTAATGGGCAACGCGCCCTGGGGATGGGGGCCCTCTCAGCAAGCCACCTTCGATGACCTCAAACGACGACTAGCAGAAGATGTCGTACTAGCCATTCCAACCCAAGAAGGGAAATTTAGGGTAGAGGCCGACTCAAGTGAGGGGGCGATAGGAGCCGTCCTCTCTCAGGAACAGGAGGAGAAGTGGTGACCCGTAGCCTTCCTCTCCAAAGCCTTAACCACTACGGAGCGAAACTATGAAATTTACGACAAAGAGTTGCTCGCCATCATGCTTGCCTTGGAAGAATGGTGACACTACCTCATCGGGGTGGAGGAAATATTCGAAGTCTGGACAGACCACCAAAACCTACGGTATTTCCGACAACCACAGAAACTCAACCGACGACAAGCCTGCTGGGTGACAGAGCTCAGCCAATACCAGTACACCCTGCATCACAAAGCGGGAATGGCGAACAAGAAAGCCGACTTGCTAAGCAGGCGCTCAGACCATGATCAGGGGGGAGATGATAACAAAGGTGTGACATTATTAAGACCGGAACACTTCCGGGCCATGATAATGCCAACAGAGGAGGAATTACATGAACGAATCAAAAGCGCCACGTGGGACAATCACAAGTGGGACCAACGGGTGGCCCCTTCTCTTAACCATGAACGGGGAATGACAAAAAAGGAAGGCCTGATCTATTATGACGGGCACATCTATATTCTCCGAGACCAACGACTCCGCGGCGAAATCATTGCCACCTGTCATGATCATGTGATGGCAGGGCACCCAGGCATCGCCAAAACCAAAGAACTCATCCTACGAGAATATTGGTGGCCAAAAATGGGAAACGATGTAACGGCATATGTAAAAGCTTGCGAGGCCTATCAACGAGGAAAGGCCTCCACACAAGCCTGAGCAGCACCTCTGCACCCGAACGAGGTACCATGCATGCCATGGACACATATTTCCGTCGATATGATCACTGGGCTACCCGAATGTAACGGGTATGATGCCATCCTCGTCATTGTCGACCGATTCTCCAAAGCAATCATTCCGATCTCATGCTCCACTGAATTAAACTCTGAAGGATGGGCTAAAATCCTACGGGATGAAGTATACGCCAAATACAGGATGCCCCAAGTCGTTATCTCAGACAGGGGTCCCCAATTCGTTTCAAAATTCATTACCGACCTATACCGCATCCTGAACATCAAACAAAATGCATCTACGGCCTATCACCCTCAAACCGACGGGCAAACAGAACGCGTTAACCAAGAAGTTGAAAAGTATCTATGACTTTTCATCAATTACCGACAAGACGATTGGACCGAATGGCTTGCATTGGCAGCCTTCCAACATAACAACCGTGTACACTCTGCAACGGGAAAAACCCCATTCTTCATAAACCATGGTCGACACCCATACATCACCCAGACAAATCGGCTCCGGACGACTACCCCTGCATCGTCCGATTTCGCTGCCGACATGGAAAAAATCCACAACAAAACGAAGGCAGCACTGAAAAGGGCGGCAACAACAATGAAAAAGAACTATGACAAACACCGAAGGCCAAGCCATACTTACCAACCAAACGACAAGGTCTGGTTGGATACGACAAACCTTCACTTACCACATCCAAAAAAGAAACTTGATGATAAATGCACCAGCCCCTTCCCCGTCATAAAAGCCATCGGACTGAGCACATACAAATTGTGCTTACCACATGCCTGGAAGATCCATGACGTCTTCAACGAAACGCTATTACATCCCTACATAGCACCAGCCTTCCCTAACCAGGAACAGCCACCTCCCCCTCTACCAGACTTGATCGATGACGAGGAACACTATGAAATTGATCAAATCCTAAATCACAAACTCCGAAAAGTCAAAGCAAAAGGGGGCAGACTAACAACAACAGTTGATTACCTAGTCAGCTGGAAGGGGTACGGCCCGGAATCCAATCAGTGGATGAACGAGAAATATATGAATGCGGACACAGCCATACACGACTATGAACTATCCCTTAATTAAGCCATCGGGACGATGATCTTAATGAGGGGGTAATGTTACGATTTCTTACTATTTTCTTTCTTTTAGCCCCTATTTATGCTTAGTCATGGCGCTAAGACAAGCGCTTAGGACTGTGGGGGTAAAGCTTGGTCAGCACAACTGGCCAAATCCTCCATTGTCCTTCGACATGGAGACAGCGCTCAACAATGCACAATGAACCTTTTATGTACGATAGTGACGCCCTAGGACAATGGGCACAAAGGACATGGCAACACACAATAAGTAATCATATATATTTAGATACAACCCAGTAGTACTTAAGGAGAACGGCTCTCGCTGGTAACCCCCAGCTTTGAGCTAAAGTTTATATTCACACCATTCTACTCTCGAGCCACTTCGTGGCCTTGTGACACATCGAGTCGATAACATCATAAAGTGGATTCAGATGATCCCTCGAAGTGCGAAGGGACATCTGTCTATCACGTGTTGTCTTGTCACGTGTCGCTTGGGCTTAACAGTATGCACATAAGGCTCAGGGCAGTATCTGTGCTATTCATTCCTGGGGTAATATTTCTCTACTTGTTAGCTTATTGTCATCATGCTATCTCTCTGTTCAGTACCCATTTACTCAGATACCTTTCTTTGGGTCTCAGTTCTCTGTTCTAAAGCATGTCCTATCAGCACATCAATGGCTGTGCATCTCTGA